AGGGTGGCGGTCGAAGAAGAACGCGTCGGACTTGGGGTCGTAGTCGAAGTTGCTGTAGGCGTCGGGCTCGGTCAGCCAAGACAAGCGTGTCCCCGGCAGCGTCTTCAGAGTGCTCCGGTAGGTCTCGTGTCGGATCCCGCCGCAGTTGATCACAATCTTCTCGCTATCTGACACCGAGCAAGTCATGGCTGCGCTGGAGCATGCTTCGGTCGGTGCGCCCGACTGCTGCTGCTGTTGCGGCTACTGCTCTTCCCCATTCACCACCGGTCCCCGTTCTGCAGGCTACTGTTATACCGTCCCGGCCAGGAGTCACTGGGCCAACTGAGAGGAGGAGAGAGAAGGGGATGCAATCAGTCTGTGTGTGTGATAGAGAAACACACACACACAGAGAGAGAAAAGGAGAGTCTGCAAGTGTTCCTATGGCAGAGAGTAGCCTATGTCCGATGCGGATTTTATGAATCAGTAGATCTACCCGCTGAATGACTGTCTGAATGAGTTACTGATTGAAATCATTGGCTCATTAAAAAAACAACAACAACAACAGCCATTTGTGCCAAACAAATTTTTTACAGATATTTACATTTAGCTATTTTGGCTCTGGAACTTTTGAATTTGCTGCATTCTTGAACTGCAGAGAAATGGGATTTATTGATCCAAGAAACAGAGAGAGAGAGAGAGAGAGAGAGAGACTAGATGATTCTGGTTTTTCGTTGCAAATGCTCAAACACCGAGCTATATACATGGCTCAGTATATGAACACCTGTATGTCACACCTATACCTGATTGTTGAACTAAATCATAAGCATTAACTTGCTACTCTAGCAGCATCCACTCTTCTAGTTTCAGTCTTTCCTTCAGATGTTGAACCTGGCTGTACAGATATGCTCCCATTGCTGAGGTCCAGCACTGATATATTGTGATAGGGTCTGTCTGGCTCAGCTCAGTGTTCCAGCTCATTCCAAAGGTGCTGGACGGGAGTTAATGCAGGTCAGTCAAGTATGCTTCCACAGCTAGCTGGGAGAACATGTCTATGTGGGGCTGGCTTTGTGCACAGGGGCATGTCAGGAGAATGACAAAAACATATAACTGACACAAAATTGTGTGATGATAGAACACACACACACAAACAAATGTGCTGTGCTTGGTAAATTAGAAGCCTGCTAGCCAGTGAGTTAGCCATGTTGATGACTGAAGCCTCAGTGTGAAGGAAGCAGTAGCTGTGAGCTTCCCACCTGTGACCTTCTATGATTGATTAGAAGGGCTAGCCTCAGACAAAAAATACCTTGCAA